TTTGGGATTGAAACTATGGGGTGATCTAATTAGGCTCATGAACTTGGATATCCAAATGGCGTCAAGGGTTTGGGAAACTTATTCCTTCCAATAAGCTTCCACCCTTTTCTCTCTCCTCCTGAGACTGCAGTGATGCAGACATTGTTTCTCGTGGTCTCCACAGCGCCCACAGGCTTTCTTCATTCCTTTTCATTTTTCATTTTTGCTCCTCTGACTGGATAATTTCAAGTGATCTGTTTTGAACTCACTGTTTTGCTTTATTTTGGTTTTATTTATTTATTTATTTGTGTGTGTGTTTTTACTGCTTGGTATAATCTAATGTTGAAGCTATGTATAGAAATCTTTAGTCATTTCATTCTTTAGCTCCAGAATTTCTTTTTTTTTTTTTATTTTGTTCTATCTCTGTTGAATTTATTTTGTTCTTCTTATTTTTTCCCAACTTCATTCATTTATCTGCTTATAGCTCTCTGAGCATTTTAGAATAACTAGTTTGTATTCTATTGGGAAGCTCCTGTATCTGCATTTTTGGGGGTTAATTACTGGAAGTTTCTGTGCTCTTTTAGTGTGGTCATGTGTCCTTGGCTTTTTGTGATCTCTGTTGACTTGCATGGCTGCCTGTGCATTGGAAGAAGCAGTCGGCTCTCCCGGACTTCATGGACATGCTGTGGTTAGAAAGATTCACCTGTGGACTGGATGCCTGTGGAGCATGCTGTGACCCTGGGTCTGGCGAAGCTGGGGGCCAAACGCTGGGCTATGTGGCAGCTCTGGGGCCAAGACGGTATGCTGTTTCCTCAGCTCAGCCATGGGGTCACAGCGTCGGCAAATGAGTGGTCCTAGGCGAGCACTGTGGAGGGTTCACCATGGTTGCAAAGTCTGTTAGAGTCCTCAGGTGTGCTTCTGGTCTGGTTGCTAGGGCCCAAAGTGGGTAGTGAGAGTGGCTCTGGCCTTTGGTGTGCAAATAGCAAGCTGTGGTAGGTGCTGCTTGCAGATGTGCACGTGGTGTGGTGGCCAGGGCCAGCAGGAAAGGACAGGAGCAACTCACCGGTGCCTGTGAGGACCCTGGCTGGTGGTGGGTGCTCAGGTGGCTGCGCAGTCTCCCCTCAAGCTCACATGTAACAGCGTGGGTTACTGATGGAAGTCAGGGCTACACAGCGTAGGTGCTCAGCTATAGGGACTAACTGGAGGTGTGCTCAGGGGCGCAGGCCAGGGACAGGAGACACGGCCAGATCCAGGCTCTGAGTTTCAGTGTGTTTTCCTTGGATGTCAGGGTCTCCTGAACAATCCAGAGCTGTTTTTGTTTGTTGGGTAGCCGCCTAATTGTGTATCTTTGGTGGTAAGGAACTGGGATGTTTGCCATGTTGGTGTTGTTTTCAAAGGGTTTTAAGTTACAGATTCAGTGTGTTCAATGCTATTGTTCTGATTTTCTTTTATTTTTTTTAAAGATTTATTTATTTAGACAAGAACCGGGGTAGAGGCCAGATGTGTGGGAGAGTGAGAGGATTCATCAGAGACAGAGTTGGGAGCAGAACAGGCGAATCCACTGAAATCCACTGCTGAGGGGAGCAGCGGGTGCAACAGGAGAGGTCTGCTGCGCCAGGTGGGAATCTCCCGGCCGGCCGGGATGGAACCCGCACTGCAGAGGCTGCGGACAGCTTCACAGCGCTGCGCTCAACCGCCTGCGCCACCAGGGAGGCCCTGTTCTGATTTTCTATTTTGACTTGAATCCATTTTGATAAATTGTATTTTCTTAGTAATTTGTATATTTAATTATGTTTTCAAATTAGTGGTATAAAGTTTTTATACTGTCTTATGATATTTTTTAAATATCTCTGGGACTTTTAGTAATATCCCTTTTTTCCATTCCAGACTTGGTGTTTTTCTCTCTTTTTGCTTCATTGGTCCTTGTAAAGTTTTATCAATTTTGTTATTTTCAAAGAAACAAGTTTTGGTCATTTTCTGATCTGCCTCGTTTTCCACATAGGTCATTTAGATCCAATTTATCAATGCTATTCATATGTTAGATCCTTCCTGATGTCTTCTCCTTGTTCCATCAGTTACCGAGAAAAATATATTAAAATCTCCCACTATGATGTTGTATTTTTCTATTTCTTATTGTGGTTTTGTCTAGTTTTTCTTCATTTCATATTTTACCTCATACCTTTTCAGGCAATTTTAGGTGCATACAAATTTAGAATTGTTATATCTTCCTACTAAATGGAATCTTTTATCATTCTGAAGTGTCTCTTCTTATTGCTAATAATGATTTCTGACTTAATGTCTACTTTGATATTGATTTAGCTGCACCAGCTTTCCTTTGATTAATGTTTGATTGATGTATCTTTTCCGTCTCTTTATTTTCAACTCTTCTGAATCCTTACATTTTAAATGTGTGTCTCGTATGTAACATATAGTATTTGTATATTTAGCCTGAGAATATGTGTCTTTAATTAGAGCATATAAGCTTATATATGTTAGTGGTATATTTGACTATAAATATACATTATTATAGAGTGCTTTTTAATCCTGACTGCTTTTTTATTTTTTAAGTTTGCTAGGCAAAGGGCTGTTGAGATTATGAAGATGGATGTTTATGCAGTTAAACAAGAGTACATTTCAGGATCTAGAAGAATCGTGTAGCTTGATATTATGATAGGTGTGTATCTGATATAAACACAGGGCTGAAGAGTTGTTTGGACCTCATGATGTGGTTCGTTTTTTTTCTATGTTAACAAGTTTTAATTTCCTTAAGATTACTCTAAAACCACTGAAGCGTTTAAAGTGGTGTAGGAGCTGCTGACGAGATCCAATTTTGAAATGTTAAACTGCAGAATGTAGAATGGGTTAGAAGGAGACAAGAAGTCGACTCCAGGAAACCAGTTGGCACATGTAGGGTAAAGAAAATGTCAGGCTTTTCTGCCCTCCAGCCATCAGGATAGATGATGAATCCTTGCGGTCCTGAGTGCATGCCTGATGGCGGGCACCTGGAGTAGGGTGAGGGCCTAGGTAGATGGGATTCACCTGGGCTTTTAAGGGCGGCGTCACGGGGACACCAGAAGAAGACAAAGAAGAAGCCAAGAAGCTGAAGGAGGGGCCGGGCCGAGGGAGAAGCAAAGAAGCAGAAGCAGAGAACGCTAGAGAGCCCAGAGAGAGTGAGGATTTGCTGGGGGCTGGGAGGCCTGCCAGCCTCCCGGCCCCCCAGCATCCCTGCCTGCCGTGTACCTGGTAATCCCAATAAAAGCCTGCAAAACCACTGACTCTGACTCCTCCTTCACCCGGTCTGCATGGGATCCTAGAAAACCTGCACTGTGTCTGTTCCTGTCCCTTACAGCACAGTATAAAAGGTGGATGCTTAGTGAATATTTTTTTTTTTTGCATGAATAGGGCTTTAGCAGCGGTCAAAAGTGAGGTTCATAACAGCTTGTCCATGCTTGCGGGGGGTGTGTGCAGATAAATAAATGTTTTTGAAAGGGCTGCTGATTCTGCACTCGGATGGATGAGGCTATCATTTACTGAGATAGTGACTAATGGAAGGCTTTGGCTTTGAAAGAATGCTCGAGCCCACAGAAGTAACTTCAGTTGTAGTCAACTTTTAAATTAATGTATTCATTTTACCTACATAGTTTTTAAATGCAAATATCTTGTTGATTTACTGTGTGCTTCTTTGCCATTGAGGTTGAATAGATTCCATCTGTAATATTGCGAATTGTTTATCCACAACCTGTGCTCGATCTTGCATCATCATTTACTTAGTCGTTCATATTAGCTACCTATGTCACAAATATTAAACATTTTGTTTCTAAGTCCCAGTGTGTTGCTTATCTCTCGCTTTATTGATGAGGTCTTTTAGTGCAGAGACGTTCATGACTACTGTGTGCCCAACCCTCTTGGTCTTCCTTGCCACAGCATGTGAGTTTTACTTTTGACTTAGGAACTTCCCCATCTGAAAGTACATTCCCCATTGGTGGTTGACAATTAGCAGCTTTCGATTCCGTGAGTGGGCGCACATTGGCTTGACGTGGAACGCCGTTGCCAGCGTGGTTTGCTGATGAGCCCGTAATTTCCTCACTGGCTGTAAATTGTGCCTTTATCCTGCACTAAATTCCATTCTACACCTAGATCTGCTTCTGGGGCCCTCTGTTTCACTGATTCCCTTTCTATTTTTACCTCAGTACTAAGCTTTAATTGCATTTTAATTTGCTTTTTTAATAAGTAACTCATGCACAAGGGTCGTCATCCAAAGGGTATAAAGTAGCACGTGGTGAATAGTAAATCTCCTTCTGATTCTTCTCCCAAACAGCCACCCAGTTCCCCTCTCAGGAGGCAACAGCTGTTACAGTTTTGGTACCTAGTCCCTCACTACACCAAGTATGCCAGGGTCAGGTACTTGTGCTAGTAGGTTGTGTCCTTCACCAGAGCTAATGAGCGGCCACAGGCATCTCCTTGCAAGCTTTAAAACAGGCTAGGTGAATTTTAAGAAAATTGTGTTGGGGCTTTTCTTTATATTTAGGTAACTGGTTTACAGCACCACGCACACCACCAAGGCCCCGGAATCTACCACAGTCCACTTGGCCTCCTCCCCCTTTTCTCAGCACCTTCCCCCCACCTCTCGTTTTCTCAAGTTTAGAGTCAGGCGTTCTGACTATTTCCAGGCTTTCTCCCTATTATTATTATTATTTATTTATTTATTCTTGTGGGACCCTCGCCGGCCGGGGAACGAACCGGCGCTGCAGAGGCTGCGGGCAGCCCCATAGCCCAGCGCTCAACCGCTGTGCCACCAGGGGAGGCCCGCTCCCTATTATTTTTTTGAATGATTTCTCTGCTCCTTTCTCTCTCTCCCCCTTCTGGAACAGCCATTATACTCATGCTGTCTCCTAATGGAAGTGGCTGTTTCTTGAAGTGTTTCTTCAGTACTTTCCTTCGCATGTGTGGCTCCTCTGTGTGTCCTCATCTTGGAGCTCGCTGACTTCGTCTTCCACTTGGTCTGTCCTGCTGCCACAACTCCCTCCGGCACCGGGTACTGTTGTGGGTTTTTTTTTTTTTTGGTATTTTAACTTTTCCCAGCTGTATATAATTTTAGACATTTGGCCTTTCCGGCCTTCCATAGTGCGGAGAGCTCATCTTGCAGCTGCTGAGTCAGGGGTGGAGAGGGTCCGAGAGGGTTTGCTCACTGTGGAGAGGTGAGCTGGCTCATGTCTGTGCCGCTGCTGAGAGCCCTGCCCTGCGCTTCAGTCCTGTTTCTGCGGTTTGTGTCTTGTCCTGCGCTTCATGAGGTCAGGCCCCTTCTGAGGGGTGAGGGAGGGGAGCTCAGCCAAGGGCAAAGACCTCTTTCCTTTCACTGGGGACTCAGCCTGCTGGAAGCACCCTAACTCTCTGTGCTTATTTCCCCTCAGACAAGGTGTGCTCCTCCAGCCCCCTCAGCCGTCCCTTCCCCAGGGCTGTGGCCAAATGGCCGGACACAGTTTACGCAGCAGACTCCTGCCCGGGGCCCACGGCCTCTAGGCATTTCTCTCTTTTGCCGTTTGCTTAATGAAACACAAACCTCCTCAGTGTCCCTTCTGCTGCCGGCTGTTGTTCCAGTCTTGCCCCAAGCCACAGGCCCCTCTGGGTATGTGCCAGCCAGCTTAATTTTCAGCTGTTTGGGGAGTGAAACAAGAAAACTTCTCTGATGCTGTCATAGATCAGTCCAAGATTTTCTTTTTGGGACTTTTATTAGGGTTACACTGAATTATAGACTTACTGGTCACGTTGGTGTCCTTTAGAGAACCAGCTTTCTCTAGCCAGACACATGCTGTGTTGCCTTCCACATAGGCCTTTTTTTTTTTTTTCAGTAGCTCTGTTGGTGAAAGCAAACTTTCATTTGAAATATAATATACATAGGTAAAATGTATAATCACGGCCCGATGAATATTTTCAATTGCACGAACTCACACAACCACCCTCTGCATCAGGAAATAGAAAACTAACTCTGAACCATCCCTTCACGTCCTCCCTCAGTCGTGCGTATTGTCCGCCTCAAAGATACTAGTGTCCTGATTCCAGGTAGTACGGATTTCTTCCGCCTGTCTACAAACTTTGCTGAAGCAGAATAATAGAGTGTGTACTCCGTGGACGTGGCTTCTTTCACTGAACATGTTATTTTTGAGATTCATTCATGTTGCATTAGCTATAGCTCATTAATTTGCAGTCTGGTTTAGTATTCCATCCTCTAAGTAAATGCCAATTTATAGATCCATTCTACTGTGGATGGCAATTTGGATTGTGTCTAGTTTTGTATTACGAATAATGTTTCAATAAAACTTTTATGTACTTTTTTTTTGGTTGAACACAGGTATTTTTGTTTGTATAACAAGGATTGGGATTGCTGCGGTAGAGAGTATGCCTATGTCAATTTATTAGAAGCAGTCAAGGACTTTCCAGAACTTTTGCAACAGCTTACACACCTCCTAGCAGTGCGCAGGGCTTCTTGTGGCTCGTCATCCTTTCCAGCACTTAGGGCTCGTCTGTAGTACTGTGCCATTTTAGTGTGTGGCATCTCATACTACTTGTGCATTTCTTTCCATGATGCTTTATGAACTTGACCATGGTCTTATAAGCTGTTTGCTATTTGAATGAACGTCTTGGAATTATCTCACAGTTACGTTGAATTTATTATTGTTCAATGTGGGGGAAATTGTTATTTTTACAAAATGGATTCTTCCTAGCCACAAAGATGTATATCTGGCAACTTATTCAGGTTTTGTTATCCCCTCAATATTTGTATGCAGTTTATTGCATTTGGATCTTGCATAGATTTCTTTTTATCCTTCAATATTGAGTGTTATTTAAAAAAATTTTTAAATAATACACATTTCAAATTTTATAAATATCAATTTATGTTGTTGTTATTAGTGTTATTTAAATGTAGCTGTTAAACTTTCATTTTCTAAGTATTTTTGAAGTTATATAGAAATACCAGTTTTGAAATACTGATCTTGCAGCCGGAGATACTGCTGAATCCATTATTAGCCCATTAATCTTTTATAAATAGTACTAATTTATCTGTAGTTTTATGAAATCTTCAAATAATTTTATCTTCATTACATTTCTTTATTACATATTTTTATATTTTTTTTCTTGCGTGTGCTCTGCAGTATCATGCTAAATACAAGTGAGATCATAGGCATCTTCTACTTTATTCCCGACTGGAGGGAAAATTTTCATCACTGCATCATTATATATGCTTTTTGCTATAGTTTCTTTGCACTTACTCTTCATTAGATGAGGGAAGTTTCTATTTTGGGTTTGCAAAGATTTTTTAAAGCTCATGAATGAGTGTTTAATTTTTTCGCCGACTTCATTGAGATATAATTGACACATTATGTAAGTTTAAGGTGTGCAGAATGATGATCCCGCACACATGTATATTGAGAAATGATCACCACAATAAGGTTAGTTAACTCATGAATGGATGTTGAATTTTAACAGATTTTTTTCTGCATCTTTTGATTTACTAACATTTTCTCTTATTCTGTTGATGTGCTGAACTACATTAGTTGATTTTCAAGTGTTAAACCAACATTTTATTCTTGGCAGTTATTTTCCTTAACAGGGAGGGATATGTATAATTGTGTGTGTGTGTGTGTGTATGCATTTTAGAATTTTTGCATCCTTGTTCATAAGTGACATTGGCCTTCAATTTTCCTTTGTCAGGTTTTGTTAGGTTTAAATGTAAAGTTATATTAGCTTCAAAAATGAATTGAGATGTAATTTTTTTTTTAGACTCTGGAAGAGATTATATAAGACTGATGCTATTTATCCTTTAAATGTTTAGGAGAATTCACTGGTAATGCCATCTGGGCCTCAAGTTTTCTTTTGCAGAAAAGTATTTATAAATTCAATTTCTTTAAGAGCTATAGGAATATCCAGAATTTTCTTTATCTTCTTTTACCAATTTTAAGTTATATTTTTAAGCATTCTTCTGAATTTCCACATTTATTGGCTTAATTCCCTCTCTTTTTAATGTATTGGCTCTGTATGTTACATTCCCGTTCTTAACACTGGTTATTTTATTTTCTCTTTTTGTTATTCATCAGTTTTTAGTGAGTATTTTCATTGGCTCTTTTATACAACAGAAATTTGGCTTTGCTGGACCTCTTTGTTATAGATTATTTTATTCCAGTACTTTCTGATGTGATTTATTTGTGCTTTCTTTGGTTAACTTTTTTATATTATTTCAGAAGGATAATTAGATTATAGATTTATATCATTCCTTCTTTTCAAATATCTGCATCTAAGACTGAGTTTCCCTCTTGTAATGACTCTGTGATATTGCAGAACTCTTAATTTACTGTATCTTCAGTGTCATGTGGAACAGACTATTTTCTAACTTAATTTGGATTTATTCCTTGACCCTTGAGTTATTTAGAAGTGAATGGCTTAATTTCCAATTTGTGGTGATTTTCTAGTTCTTTTCTTTATTAATGATGCCTAACTTAAAGTGTGGTCAGAGGTCAGAATAAATTCTAATTTCAAACCTTTGTAATTGGCTGAGGTTTGCTTCATGGCCCAATTTATAGTAAAATTTAGATTCAATGTGTGTTGCAAAAAATGAAATTCTTGGATTTATTACTTCTATATTGTATGTATGTCATTTAGAGTTTGTTAATCATTTTGATGAAATTATATATTTATTTCTAATGGCCTCTACTATCAGTTACAATTCTCCATCCCAAATCTAGAGCTGCATGTTTTCAGTTCTGGGGTGCCTATTTGTTCACTTTTTTATAGATTGCAATATTGTAAACTTGTCTCTCATGTCTGTTTTCTTAAATTAATCATCATTGTTTTATAGCCTGTGCTTGCATTTCCAGTATGTGGATGGCATCTAGACTTTTTTGCTATTTGTTTTATCTCATCTTTTTCTTTTATTTTTATCTCATCTTAGCAATTTTTATTTCATCTTATTCTTGGTAATTTTTAATGCTGGACATTTTTTAAAAAATAGCAAAGACTTTGGAAAAAAAAAACCTTTTTATTTTGAATAATAAACTCATGGGAAGTTGCAAAAATAGTACATAGAGCCCAGTCAACCACTTGCACAGCTTCTCCCCCAGGAGCTCCTCTATGACTACAGTGTGATATTCAGAGACCGCAGACCAGCACCATCGTATTACAGTCAGATAAGAATTTCTCACCTGTGCTCATTTCTCTGTGTGTTTAGTTTTATGCAGCGTAACCCTGTGTGCAGATCTGTGTAGCCAGCCACCACCACACTCAGGGTAGAGGACTGTTCAATCACCACAAAGAGACCCCTTCCTGTCACCCCTTTATAGCAGTGCCCACTACTTCACACCCCTTTCTCGTTCCTGGAAATCATCTGTTCCCCATCTCTATGGTTTTATCAGTTTGATATTACTGTATAAATATTATATATTGTGACTTTTTTGACATTGGCTTTTAAAAAATTCAGGCTTTATTTTTAAGGCAGTTTTAGGTTTGCAGAAAAATCGAGAAGACAGTAGAGAGTTGCAATGCAACGCTCTTGTGCTGTTTGCAGCCTGTCAGTAACGAATGTTCTCACTGGACCAGTCCTTGTGGTTCTTATTTTGATTGCAAGATGCTCGTCAGCAGTAGCTGTCAGGAAACTTGGGGAAAATAAAGGTCTATTAAGAGACCTGGAAAGGACACAATGTCCCTGGGCCACGCGGTGAGGCTGTATGTAGAGAGAGCGTGTGAGCCTGGGGTCCCGGTCTGACTGGGGTTGAAGGTGCTGATCTAGCCTTTTGTGGGCTCACAATTGATGAATTTAAAATGTAGGAATGGGAATTTGAAGTGTGGGTAAAAAGAGGAAGAAAAGGAAAAGGAAAATACACAAGGATCCAAATGGCCATTTGCCAAATCAACTGGGGTCTGTTCAGGAGAGGGATCTCTTCATCCGTGCTGGCAGGTAGACTTATTTGAGCTACCCCTCTTTGATGTAGAGGCCTCAAAACTTAAAGCAGGCACTTGCATTGCATTATGAAAAGAAAAGCCAAC